CAGCGGCTTGGGAAGGTTCGGGTGTTAAGGCATTAGAGCTTGTCTAAAGCTGCGTGTAAAACCAAGAAATTAAGGAATGTATGTATGTTTGGCGATAAAGGTGGTTTTGAATTGGGGAAAATTTACAGGGGAAGTTAATCGAGGGCATGGATATTTAAAAAATGGTGCTATGAAGGTAGCTTTCCGAACATTTTGGTCCTGCATTCTGTAAAGGCCTTTTTTTGTCGTAGGAATAAGTTTTGTTGAGGTGAAGAATTAGTTTATCAGTAGTCCATTTTGCTTAATAAAGCTTTTACTTGTGTCACTCCCATTTTTCTAAAATTTTATTGTCACTCAGTTCCTATTGAAGTTTTGTCAGCTATCAATACCCGTGTTGGATCCATGTAGGTGCCCTTTATCTAATCAAAAGCGTACAAGGTGGTGCACTTATAAGCTTTTATGATGGTAAGCTTTGACTAGAATGGCGATGGAAACATTTCAAAGTATGTTTGAATTAAAAATAGTGAAGGAACTTTAGGTGGGCCAATAATGACTTGTGTTAAGTTAGCTATAATAAAACGTGCTTGTTTCCTTTATCAAGATACGTTGCTTGGCAAGTGGAACGAGTGCGACGTTTCAATGAAAGCCGCGGTGGTAAGTTCGCAAACCTTCATTCGTTCATCTTTAACTATATTTTTTTCATCAAACGCATTCTGATGTTGTGGCACTATTCTAACATCATCTAGCTTGACCCAAGGGGATTGTACTTTTTGTGGTTAGGGGTCTGTGTTTCGTGCTTTTTAAAAAACGACATTGTTGGACAGCGCAGTAAGGTTTCTTTTTCTTCATCCTCGAATGGGTTAGGAAGAGGATTGAGGCGTCTTTTGATGGAATTTGTTTATTCATCGGATTTATTATGTGCTGATCATAGTCTTTTCCCCATGCTCTGCGCAGAAGTCGTTATTTGCCACTGCCAGACGGGATGGCTGGACTCCCCGCTGGCCCTGATGGCGCACGCCTCAGCCTTCCCCACTGCCACCAACACCTTTAGAGGCTCGCGTAAACGCTTGCTTGGGGACACGAGTTTACTGCCATTTCCCAGTCTCTTTGCCGCTCCTACTGGCAACACCGCCACACCCATCGCAGTTGAGGACGCAAAAGTAGGGAGGAAGCCAACATTCACGGCGACAACATCAGGAGGTGATGGTGGTAGAGGAGGTGGAGAGGGTGAAAACGCCATCTTCACCGTTCGACCGCTCTATTTACCCGGCGGGCACCCGCCTCTCTCCAGGGAGGTCTATGAACACGTAAGTGAATACACTTTCTTCAAGCGTCCGCCCTGAGAATACTTGGTCCTTGTCCACCTAATTAACATTGTTGGTTGATTTTCTGCTTTTTCAAAGTGTAGCCGTGAAAGTGCTTTTGTTTGTAGTCTCCAGCTAACTAAATTAGAGGGATAAGTTACTAACGGAGATTTAGCATCGGAAGCCTCTTATGAGAGCTGTATACAATGTATAGGTAGATAAAAGGTGTCGGTATGCTCCCAAGAGTAATGAAGCTGAAGAACATGAGTAGTTTAGAGCGTACAATGAAGTAAACGTCAGTTAGTTATTCACAATAGTAGGCAGCTTAGTAGAAAAGTGAAGGACGATTATGGACAGTTGAACTCTAAAAGCTTACCTTAAACTATTTTTTGTCACCTCTCGTAGGCTAAGAAAAAAGTGCTGCAATATAGCCGTATTAATGGTGTTTCAATCGCATCGTTCACGGATATTTTGGATGGAGGAAGAAGTGTTTCTTTTAAAATGTTAGCATGCTTATTTGACTTAATCCTTCGCCAATTCTCACTAACGACGCTTAGGTTAGTCCTCTACACTAATCTGCTATTTCCTTCCTTACAGTTACGCTTCGGTGAGCACTACGATCTAGATGAGCGATTAAAGGCGTTCAATGTGGCCTTGAAAACGGATGACGTTGAAGCAGCAGCGAAGGAGACTTTCCAGTGTCCCCTCTGTCTCTCCCATGAGGCCTCTCGGTGGGCTCTCACTGAGCATGCTTTTTTCTCACACTGGGTAGGTACTCAGTCTCCCAACCTATTCAAAAGCGGTTGAAACTTGCTGCCAGCCATCGGTACTCTGAATGTGTGCGGAATACGTCGTAAATAAAGTCGCAGCAAATATTTGAATTTGGAATGAATTTGGCTGCCATTGTACAAAAGTGTTGGCGCATTTACGACCACAATTTAGCTGTTATCTCTGCCAAATGCAGATGGTTATTGCTGATGGGAGCCACTGAATTCGATTGCGAAATTTGCATGAGATCAGGGATTTTTAACAGGAGAAACACAAGTTAATCGGTGTGTTAATTTCATTTTAATTATCTGGTAGGGACTTCTTACACTAGGTTTCTTCATTTAGCATAAAAGACCCACACATCCATCTACCAAGTGTATTTGTGTTGCAGGGTTTTTGGGGCACATTCCCAACGGTTTCCCTGCCTCAAAAAGTGATTTGTTCTTCTCTCTTTCCTTTGAATTTGTTACTGAATTATTTTCATAACACTTCGTATGTGCAAATTCACCAGACACGTGGTTGGAAGGCAGGGCGAAAACTTTTCGCCATCCATTCCTAATCTAGCGATTTTATGAACCATGTACCCCCCATGACTTTCTCCAGCGCCTAACCAGGACAAAAATGATGATGATTAAAAGTTTATTCGATTTAGGGTTTGGATGATTTTATGCTGCAAAATTAGCGCTCATATCTGAGCTTCATTCGTTTTCGTTGCTTTATTTCATAAGCAGGTTAATGCGCCTAGTTAATTTGAGCTTGATGCTGGTTGATGAGATGCATGTTTGTAGTTCTGCACGATTACCACTTATATGAATCCTGTGTATTTGACATTATGGAGATCCAATAGCCCCATTCGTGATGTGCGAAAGGGAGAAGCATATTATTTATTTCATTAGAGATTACAAATAAATAACCACCTGTATCTTTCGTCGTTTAGTTAAATCCCAGCAAATTGGAAGCTACTTAGCATCAGATAAATGACCTACATTTCATTGAAAGTCATGGAAAATTTTCAGTTTTTTAACGGTGGGGTCGTAAAATTTATATGGAAATTTTGAAGGGCGGAAAATTAACTTATCGATGGGCAAAAAGGTGTCATCACTACATCGTCACTGCTAGTTGAAAAGATGTGAAGCATGTCTTACATTCTGTCACTGTCAGCACTTAAGAGGCGGCGATTGATGTAACTTACGTGTTAATTGACATCCTGTAGTGTTGGGGAACTTTGGGCCTTGTAAATGAACGGGAAGAGTCAGATAAAATAAGTTTACCGTGCTTCATGTGGATATGTAATCTGGAATTGCACATCTTGTGGCACTAAATCAAATTCCGAAGTCATTGAAAGTGTAATTGCCTGTTTGGTATCACCTATGATGAAGTGGTTTTTAAAATAAGTCATTATGAAATCAGAAATAATGGCAGATTTCATTGGTTGCTTATTGTCAGTATAAATATCTGGCATGACGTGCTTCAGGTTTTTTAGTAATACGCACCCTCAAGTGAAGTCGGTTAATGTGTTCATGCAGACCGACTTTCAAAGTTGAACATTGACAGTGGAGAACGGCAGGTGATTTATGGTTTGCTTTGCATTGTTTAGGCTTTAAAATTGTGAATGAGCAAGGGCACACAAAACGTAATGGTGAATTGGGGGAGGTAGAAGGTTCGGTGAGGAAAAAGATTTCGCAGAGTGAAGAGGAATTTGGGGTGGGGCGAAAAATCACCATTTTAATTGCCACTCGACCATTTTTTTTATTCATCCTTCTCTATATCCAATGACAGCGTTTGTCCGTTACTTTTAGCTGCGCTTGTGTTACGTGTGCTGCCACTATATCTGCGAAGCAGGCGCGATGAAGAGCGGGGAACAGAGCATTTGGGGGCACATCTTCTCCTGTCTCAGTCAGCGTCACGCGGCTCTACTGCTGCGTGTCAACACCAACAACGGTGACGTCGATGATGACCCGGGGTGGAGACGTTGTCGACAGAGTTTGTATCCTCAGGAGGAGGTAAAGGTAACGGTACCTTCGTCCTCCCTTCATCACATTGACGCAACCACTACTGCCCCCGTCTTCGAAGATGGTAGGTCTGCCGATCCCCCGTCAGGTAAGTGTGGAGTGTTTCTAACTCCTCTCCGTCTCATAGTCATGAAAACACCTGCACTTCGTTGGTGTTTTGCGCATGTCTCGGGCATCCACTGAGCGTCGGGAGAATAAAAATATTAACATTATATTCCAAATTACACGTGATTTACAGGCACCAATTTAACTATGCTTCGAGTGAACGGCGTGGGCGTGTTTACGCATGCATAGCACTGCCTTGACACGTTAAAATGCTCCATGTCGATTAAGTATCACGTGGGCATTATTTTTGGGCTTCTAGTTCTTCAATAAAATACCTTAGTGATAGTAGGATGAATTGAGGCTTCTAGGGCTCCGTCAGTATTTACTGTTTTCATTCCATTTACTTTAAGCCAATACAGCAGGCAATGAAGGTGTTTAGTTCTGCAATATTACGATAGTTTGTATGCCGAAAAAAAATGAAGGCCAAATAAGCGTTTAGGATAATGTTTGTAGGGGCCTTTATCAAATCGGCAGCATTGTGCTTGATTTCAATCTCACTTAAGTGGATTTCACTTTTTGCGTTAGAAATAAAACTGCATTCACAGAATGTTTTATCTGACTTTCTACTGCAAATAGTCAGACTGTGCGAGATTTATCAGCTTTTAGAGATAATTATCAATACCCTTTTAAATATGGGAATCTATTATTCCTCTCAACCTGCCTGTGTCGTCCCCCTTTTTTTCAGTTGGAGTGGCCACTATGGAGACAGATGATGTGCTTTTGGGATTGCGAGGTGTTGGAGCCCTGACGAGTTGTAATGATCATGCAGTAGCGTCTGGAGCTGATCCGAAACAGTCTCCACCTTCACCATCGGCACCGGAGCCCGTCGTCCGAAAGATCCCACGCCTCGCTTCTGTGCTCATCGGCTAGCTCAAATTCTTATCTGTTCGTCTGTTTACTGTTTGTCTAATCCATTTTCTGGTTTGGATTGTTTTTTTTGGCATCAAGCTACGAAAACTTTGGTCTCTTATGTTACATTTGAAGACGTCAGAGTGCATGAGTCCTTAAGTGTGGAAGCGGAGTGGAAGAGTAGTGAGTTGGGTTATGGTGGCAAAGCCCTACGTCACCGTCGTGGAACTGTAAAAACCTACGTATTTATAAAATTATAACGAAATCATTTCTGGGACACTGTGGATTAAGCTTAAATTTACTCTTTAAAATCGATTTGATGATACGGGGTTCGTTAATGTCTTTTTTAAAAGGCGCCGTCTTCCTCTCCCACAAGATTGCATCGTGATGTTTAAGGTTTTTCTTATTTATAACTATCATTACTGTGGAGACCCAAGAGAAAGGGTTTATCAAAGTCTTGCCGACTTAGGAGGGAAAAAACGTTGAGAAATAAGGGTACAGGAAAATCATTAAAGTATCTTTTAAGATCAGGTAGACTAGAATGATCAAAGCGAAATCAAGCATTAGATGTTTTTATTCATTTCACTTTAGGATTTGACAGCAAGTGAAAAGTGTCCGACTTCTAAAGTAATTGCTGTGGTTTCCCACACATCTCTCTACAATGTCGTGGAGGGACTTTTAGAAGTATGTGAATGGTTTCACGCATGGATTGTAAGCCAGAATAGGCTGTTGCTAAGACATGCTTTTGAAGATGTGTTGCGACCTACGAAAGGATAGCTGCATTGCGTTCGGGGATGGTCCTCTATTTGCGACGAGGAAGAGGTTGCTAGTGATGAAACAATTCGTTCCCATCAATTAGAAAGACAAAGGCTTAGAAGCTGCTAAAGCCAATAGGTGAAAAGTACGTTGTTAAAACGTGCGTCTTCCAATTACTGACCTGCTGACTTGTAATGCAGAGCGCTTTTTGTATTCCATTGTTTGCTGGGCGAATGAACGTGCTGTTGGTGTCCAAGAGACTAGACAGTCGCGTCTGAGATCTATCTACTCAATACAATTGGCTACAGCTCAGAGGTGTGTAAGACAAACGTCTTCTTGAGAAACCGTTTGCATTAGAGGATCGTTCGAATGAAGGTCGCATTCTTACAAGGCAGTAGAATGTGACACTTGTCTACGAGGATACTTGCCCTTTAAAACAGGAGGGAGGAGGAGGGATACGGCCTCATATTCATCCTGGCTGGTATTTCTTCAAGCAGTGACGAGAGCCTTTCCTGGCATTAGTAATGCGAGGTAACGTATGAAATAGGCAGGGTGTAAGAATGCGACCAATGAAGGTGGCTATGGCTGGATTTAGTTTTATAAAAAGAATTGACAACAGGTCAAGAGGTTGAAGTGAACTCTCGACGGACTGCTTCGGCTCCCTTATCCAGGTCAGGTGGGAAAAGGAGGGAAATGCTCAAATTGCGATAATGGTGAATAATCTGTATGCGGTTTTATGCTATTGATCTCCTAATCACTTCGTGTCCCCTTAACGGTTACCCTCGGCGTCGTGGTTGCCTTTTTAATGTCAGTATTGGCTGGTGCTGCATCTCATCTAGGCGCGGGGGCGGCCACTCTCGATTGACATGCTCACTTGCTTTGTCACTTTGTTCATCCATTGTGCGTCACCTGCTATAAATGTTAAATTTGTGCAAGTACATAATCAGGGTCATTTTTGATGAGCTGAATGCACAAGTGGCGGGTCATTTCAGGTATATTTTGATTAAAAGATAGTATCAGGAATGTTAAGTGCTGTCAGAAAGGGTGTAGCATTGTAAAATCATGCATAGTACATTGATATACAGTAATTCGAAAGGTGCACTTGTCGAAGTTGCAAGTGTGATTTTCTTATAAAAAAAGGCAGTGAAGAGATTCATCAATAAAAGCAGAGGGAAATATTAGTGGTGGTAATGCAACACTAGTAAAATACATTTTTGAATCACATCCACAGATTAAAGCTGGTTCCTTTGAACGCAAAGCACGATAGCTAGTGTTTTTGCACCCTTTGTTGCAACTTGTGATATTTTAACCCATCCGAAGGGGGATCCTTCTAATGATCATCCCTTATTTGAGACAAACGGTTAGTGATTGAAATGAAATGTGTTGAAATGGGCGACTTTGTTCACTGCTCGCACAAAAGCCTAATTGCTCTATTTTGGACAAGTTGATTGTAATTCCCCGCAATTGCTAAGACACTAAATTGCAATTCTTTAATTTTTCAAACACCATTTTTTGTCTCTTAGAAAGTATCATGGTTGTGTCAGTTAGAAAATCAATGTTTAGTACTCCAAAAGAGCGGATTTTTATCTAAGCTTTGTAGATATATCAACACTGAGCGATATTTAAGTCGAATCTTCACAAACTCAACAACAACAACAGCAACGCAACAACTTTTGGAGGCTTAAGGACACATTTACATATTAGCATTGAAAAACATTGTTTAACCCGGTTTTGTTTAGGACCGCTTAGGGACTCCGCCATTACTCCTTCACTGGGCGGACTTGACTGCAGGCCATGCCGGTAGCTCCAAGCCCTACAGTACGTCAGCAATACATATTCTGCCCGAGTATTATGTCTTCTTCCGTCTTTGGAGAAGTATCGGGGCACTACGTTGGCGGCAGTAGAAAGTGCTTCTGGTCTTAAGGAGCAAGAGCCCTGGTTTCTACTGCTGGATGCCTAACATTAGTGCACGCGCTGTGGATGGGAGAATCGGTAATGATCCTTAACTGAAGAGCTGAGAATGACGTCTGCCCTCGGCAGCTACCTCAGTCCTGTGGTCTGCTGGAAAGCTATTAGCAACAAAAGTGACACTAGCCGAGAACTATTTGGAAAAGTTTGTTACGGAATTGCCTACTGCTCCTGTATGAATATGTCAGATGCGTGAACATCTCTCTATTAGCTGCATAGAATTTGGATAGGTAGACAGATAGACATGGCTGGGTAGCACTGCAGTGAGAATAAGGTAGAGGGAGCTAGAAACGAAACCATACCCAATGGAACTAATGCTAAATCTAGTTATTTGTCATATGACTTTGCTTTTAGGACAGTGTTCCTACTACTAGCGATGGAGGTGCATGATGGACAGCAAAATCCCCTGTACCCCAAATCCAGTTCCAATACAGGCCAAAACTCCAGACCCAGAAGAGTTGCAAAGACTGATCAATGACGTTACGGTCAAGCATCTTCCCAGTTGTATGAAATTTTGATGACTGACACGTTTAACTCGTAGGTACTTCTCCTTTCAGCATTGAACATATTGTGGTGGCTGACGCGGGAGGTTGCCCAAGAGGAGTGCCAGGGAAGAAGCTCAAAGGAGGCGAAGGGCCTATTGTAATACGTTACTTGTTTGTTTAGCTCTTGGTTTTGGTAACCGAGCCACTTGGAGCCCTGCCATTGCACCTTCACCGAGTAGGCTGGTCTCCGAGCCATCCTATTCACTCTCAGGCCCTTCTCTACGTCGATTACATATATTCTGACCGAGTATTATGTCTTCCTTCGTCTTCAGAGAAGTCTCGAGGTGTTGCTTATATACTAAACAATGCTTTTTGCCTAATTAAAGGGTTTTTCTAATCAACTATATCTCATCATAACAATTAGCAGTAATAACACACTGCTAGAAGTTCCCTGTAAAATACACTACATTGAAGTAAGGAAATCATAAGCATTCATCAGATTAAATTTCGACATTACTAGCCATGCGTAAATCAAATATAAGGGGAAATAAAGGACAAGCATGATGCAACAAATGAGTGTTCATTCAGTCCAACGGAATCCGGTATCCGTTTCAGTAAAAAAAAAACCTTTGTCCAATGGTGCGGTACTGAAATGTTTTGCGGGCTGATAAGAAGCTGGAGCCGGACTCAGTGGAGAGGCTGGTGCTTGATTGGCTACCTACGGTAGGCCCAGCTGTAGAAACCAAGTAAGTCTTGTAACACGCAGCACTTAAGTTAAACAGCATAGAAGTGGCGTAAAGCATGGAATTACTCCTTTAACTTAATATGTTAAAATAGAGGAGTGCTTAGTTTGCAGATGGGAACTGGCATAATTCATAATGCATTTGCACTACTAAGTTAGATGGCTGGAATAATTGCACTTTGGTGTCCTCTTATGGGTTCATTTTGCTAGTCTTATTTGATGGTGGAAGAGGTTGTAATTGAAGTTTTACCAGATGCACACTTCCGAAGATGTGCATGTTTGGATGTCGTGTCGACATTTGACGGGCTCCCATTACTATACCTCAGCCCTTCTGTACGTTGATTACACACCTCCTCCTTAAAGCGGTATTCTTGATTATGTTTTACGGAGTGATTTGAGTGGATCACACTTTGTGCCTTGTATGCAGTTGGACTTGAAAGGAGATGGTCTGTATCAAGGACTGTATAGAGGGAAGGGGGAGGGAGGAGTCGCAGGGCAAAGTCAACTACCTGTGTAGACCTACCGTGGAGGCAGAAGCTGCGATGACGGCCTGCAGAGATGCCATCGAAGAGGCGGGTAGGAAGCAGAGGAGACCCCAGAAAATGGCGGAGAAAACGATCAACACAACTGCTACACCAATCACAATGACGCCGTAGTCGAACATACCCCTACAGAGTACTGCTAGTCAGATGTTTCCTCTATTCATAATGAGGTAGCGCACTTTAATAGAACAATACATTGTTTAGATTGCTACCGGCAACTTTACTCTGAATGAGAAGTTACTTCGACGTTTTTTTACTCTGTTTCATTTACGGCTACTTTCAAGATGAATTATTTTCCATTAAAGAACTTTTCTCATCCTTCGTAAAGAAGTTAGGCAACAGCAACCATCGTCTTTAGGTCCACCTCTCTACCCTTAATTCATTGTGATGAGAATCGTGATTAATGTCTGAGTATCAGGAGAGTGCTAGTACTAAGGTAAGCTCGCGTCACGTGGAAAACGTGTTGCCATTGCAGTTGTGGTGTGCAGCCTGACTGCTCCATGAGCTGCTCACACCCAAGCAGTGGAGGCTAAAGGTTGAGTAAAAACCCGGTGTCTCTGCACACCCTGTGATAGAATAGCTGCAAGATACGAATAGACGAGACCGTGGTTCACAAGCACTACTTGCGTCCCAGTCGATAATCACGATGTTCAAAGGTATTTAAAAGGATTCGATTTAGTATTAAATTGTCCGTCAAAATGAAATGCAATGTATGCAAGCCCTCCTAGTGGATTACTAACTTTCCAACCATTTATAGGAGGCATTAAATTTGCAATAATCTTCGTATATACACGTTAAAATTGCCTGAAAATACGACCGAAAAGCCAAAATGTTACTGTTGTATTTCTTTGCCGTAATTATAACAGTTTCGAAACATTGGTCACCAACCTAGTACATAAAGGAGGTATCGGAGTCGTGTGGGGGTTAGAACTTACATCCGGGTTTTTACAATTCCATTCTCCACGTAGTACTCATCGTCATTCCCATCGAAATCGAGAATCATCAGGGCGGCACCGGTGATGAAAGCGGCGACGGAAAGTAACAGACACACCGTTCCACCGACCTTCAATACCCTACTTTGATAGTGAATCTGTCGAAGACGTCTCTGAATTCCACTAACTGTTGTGGTTTGAGTATCGACTTGTCTGCTGGAGGTCAGAGATGCCCGCATGACAGGGAGAAGCTGGAATGGAATCAAACACAGATTCTGTTGGCAAAATTCCAGCAAACTAAGAAGATGCCAGTGTATTGCACGTCCTACCGGTGTTAAAAAAGAATTGTAAAACTTTATCCAGCTTACATATCCCAAAGCTGTGCTTGTGTTAAACAATCCACCCTTGGAAAATTCAACTTATTCCCACTTATTTAACATCCGCACACGTTGATTAGCGCAAATCACTTCGTTTAATCTGCGCACATTTATTCGAGCATGAGTAGACTTGGCCTTTATAGTTGATTTGAAGCTAATCACAAACAAATTCTAGGGTCAAAGTCCGGCTTCTCAATTGTCCGGTCAGTTTGGGTCGTGCCAGGACCTAATGCATAGAAGAGCGGTGAAATCTCACAATGACTCTTGGACCAAATATTCCTGGCTCTAGACATCGCATCTCGTTGAAGCATTTACTTCCTGTTAGTTAGACATAAAAAGCTTTCCATGAATGCTGCATTGTTGTCTTGGTAAGAAATATAACTACAAATGGTGTATTGCATTGGCGTTTCTCCATACCTAATCACAAAACTGTCTCTGGCGCGTGAAATGAAAAGCGCTTATCATATTCTGTTCTAGAAACAGTGAATTAAGTAAAGGGATAATTAGACCCGTTAAGCGTCATAGCTAACACCGAGCCGTGACTTTGCAAAACACATTTTGATTATACAAATGTAACTAAGTATTTTTTGCCTATGCTATCCAGATCTTGATATATTATTTAGTAATTTATCAAAATCAAGTTACTTAAGACATTGGGAACTAGTAGAACCGTGCTTCACTCGAAATTCTAAATCGTCAGTAACGGGGCTTCTCAAGGTTGGCTCCCATAGGCATATTACTGGGTAGAGGGTTAAAGGTGCAAGCGATGTTGAAGAGATAAGACAAAACCAAGACAGAAACTTTCTGCTAATTTAAAGTGAAGTGGTTGCATCGTTAATGAGCCTCCATCGCCTTGTAATTCTCGTCCCACATAGGCGTTGGGTGCATTAAAACCACTGGCGTTGCAGGGCCAAGTGAAATTTTCGGAAAGCGATGAACATTTATCCACCATAATCTCTATTATGCTAATTGTTCCGGATGTTTCATTTCAAAGGGTTAAAGTGTCTGCTAGGTTGTGCTCTTAAGATCATGTTGTTCGAGCTTTTATCCTAAAGAAAAACAGATTAAGATAAATAGCGTAATGTTGGTTGCTTTCGGAGCTTTTCAACTGACTTATTTTTATACTGCTTTTTTGCTGACATCAAGTTTATCCTCGCACGGCAAAACATAGGGGGAAAAGGTAGCAGCCACCTTCAGATTCCGCTCATTTTCCTATGCTTTTAAGTGTGTCTCTAGCTGGCTTTCCCTCGTTTCACGGGATGATACTACAGTATCGGATGGCACTCAAATTCGGTCCAAGGGCGCATTGGGGTGCACGCATGCGGATTGTAGGTGACAGCAGCTGCGGCAGAGGCACCACCGCATGTTAGCTGCATCCCTTTTAGAAACAGAAAGATGAGACGGAGCAGAGAGAAATGCTTGAACAGTCAAGAGCAAGCAGGACTATTTTAATTGCTAATCAGTTGGCGACTCTATTTTCACTTTCTCACAAAGACTCAAAAGCAGAGCTGGACGTATTCGACCATCTCAACTGCAACATAAACCAATGGTTTGTATTACAGTTGGGTCCGATAACTGGGCTGAGATATCCTCTCGCAGCATGGCTTTCCTCTGTTATAGTGGGGTCCCACCAAAGATTCAACACTAGTGGGACACAACAAGACCGTGAGCTTGTTGGACAAATTGGAAGATATCTTATCAAGTCCCGAATATTTGAATGCTAGTTGGCGCTAGAAGCGGTGGGTGCCTTAGCAACGATGATGACCTCGTTGCTGTCGAAGAAGACCTCCTGAGGATGTGCCAAACTAAAAGTTTGAAATTTTAGATTAAAGGTTTAGGCGCAATCACTGATTCTGGCTTAAGTCATCTTCCGGACAAGAAACGGTGAACCAAGATGTGTGAATTAGTTAAAACGTGCATGTCGCTGACAGAAGATTCTGATTAATCGGATGAGGATGTAGTGCATGTTAGAGTACAATAATGTGATTTAGAGTTGAGAATGCTGCCACAAAAGCAAACACTAGCTCGGCCCACACAACCCACATGATTGGTTCGCAGGCCCGCAAACATGGTCTTTGAGTGACCGGTCGCGTTAGTGCGATAGATGCGGCATGGGTGTGCCACTTCTACTGGGGTAATCATCAGGCAACGTCACAACATTGAATGCACAATAGTCTTAGTAAGATTTTCATTAGCCGAGATTTCTTTGGATAGCATATGGAGAGGCAAAGGCCGCAATCGAGAGTTTTCTGGAGACAATCGTCTTGGTTTTGTGATGAAAAGGGGCCCAACTGTAGCAACACGATGCATAACGTGTTTTGGAACGATGGGGGAGGTCGGTGGTACGACGGTGATGGAAGCCTATTATTAAGGGATAAAGTCAGTCGAAGGCTAACCGATTTGATCTTATGGCTCTACCTGGAGCTTGATAGCACTGTTACGGAGTCTGTGTACATGCGTTGGCGGCCATGTGGAAGTTTAAGACAAAGTCAGCATCACTGAAGGAGTGTTGGGCACTGGTCCTTACGAAGATGAAAGATAACTGTTGTCGTAGAACAGGAATAACCAAAGGATATTAAACCGAAGCTCAATGGTTACTGCCTTACCACATTTTATACAGATGATGATTAACTTCGTGAACACACTCATGTCTATTCCTGCTGGCCTTCGTTTGCGTCATGGGAGCATCAATAACACACTGGTACTTAAACGAACATAGTTTTCCCATACTTTGCCAGTTCCATTCAATACCTTCTACCATGTTCACCTTTAATTAAACTGCCTCATCTCGACCCATACAATTTGCTTGCTTGTCCGTTTGCCTGCCACCTCGGAGCATCTACACCCGTAAACGAGATAATCACGGCGACCATGCCTGTTGCCGAGCGGTTGCTAGCCAGTACTTGTCTCGAGGCCTCGTCTCTCCATCACACTGGCTGAGATCTTGGTATTACCTGTGTTGACGCAAGTAGACACCAGTTCATTCTACTGGGTGACGCATTAACCTTCAGAGAGCTCGAGGCTGCCTTTCTTATAGAAAAACCGAATGCCATCTTAAGATCTCAACTGAGACAATTTAAGTGAGATGAAGTCAAACTGTCAAAATGTCGGAGACTCTGCTACAGAACCCCAGAGTCCAGTCAGTCCGCCGACACAAAAGTGCCAAACCGTTGGTTGTGTTAGCAACAGCATGACGGAATTCTGTCATGACTCCGATTCCACTCCTTCATCTGAGAGAGTTGACATTGATAATTAATGTCAATCCCATTTTCTGGGGTCGCAAGCAATTTCGGTACCGCTTATCACAGAAGCCAATAGTGACAAATTCTGGAATCAACTCACAGTCGTTTCGTTCTGGGTGTTCGCTCGCCGGTCCGGCGGCTTAGCGCACAAGACAGGCCAATCTGAATCGCCTCCTGCAAGCTGTTCTCTGTAGCAGTGTCTATCTGGAAGGTTTTCAGCAGTATGTACATCAGCAGAGCATCTCCTCCGATCTTGACGTCAAATATGGCCTTACCGCGTTTAAGCAATCCCATAAACACACCGATCATGTATGGACCGATGATCATGGACGTAGATGTCAGTACCCGTTTTGAACCTCTTTTTGACATCTAGTATACATCTTTTGGACCCATTTTGTGGAGTATTCGGGGCTTTGAAATACATTAAACGTGCGCAAGGCATGCTTGATAGAACACTATTCACCTTGGCATCTAAAAATTTACCTTTTGGCCTTCATAGATAGAATTTTACCACATGAAATAAACTGTACTGGTATTCAGATTTTTGGAACCGAATGTTTTCTGTTTCCAGCATTTTGATGCTAATCACATCAAAGGACCTTTTCGTGGGAGTTTTAATTTGAATGTTCTTCTTTCTCTTGGATGCCAGGATCTTTTCTGAAGTCATAGTAGCATGACAAAATATGTATTCCCGACTTACTGAAAAGCTGAAGCTACAGGCACGGCCCGGGGGTCATGGCGCCGGGCAGAAGTACAATCCACGGGGTAGTAAGCGACTGCGCAATTAAAGCGCAGAGTTAAACAAACTACCAAAGCCTTACATAGCGTGCTCGACCCCCCGTCCCAGTTAACTTCCTGCGTCAGCCATTACAACGGTCGGTGAATTACAAAAAACACCCATGAATGAACCACCTGATCATCGAATTTGCGTACAATTGAGAAGAGATTTGATCTCAGCGTCATCAATACATCTTGGGATTACAACTGGATCCAAAGCTTCGTCCTGTTTAGGGACAGTATTGGGGACGAGGGAATGTACTGGCCAACACGGGTGTCCGTCGCTAGTCGCAGAAACACCAGCCTCAAAGTAGAATCACATACTGAAGGATGGAGTTTAAGATAGTTTCGTGGAGGTAGAGTTTTGCCCATATTCCTCCAGTGATGCTTAGCCATTCCTATCAGGATTTCGCCCAGCTAGTAGAGAAGTGGGGAGGTATCATGTGTTTACATAATCGACATTTGCATACATGTGCTGTAGACAACTCCGTAATAAAATTCTTCAGATGGTTCAAGGGTTATGTCGCTTCAGCTGTTGGTAGCGTTCCTACAGAACACGTGACTAAGGTAGGTGCCGAAGACGGTCATCACGGATTCTCTCATGGGCAGCAGACGCCCTTCCTCCGTCACGCTGATTTAGCATCCAACAATAGGATTGAGGATAGCTGTCCTTAGAATCACGTATGCTTGGCCCTGCCAACGAAGTAGTGCCGCAAGTCGCACAGTAGAAATAAGGCTTCTACACGACCCGAAGGCTATGCCACCAAGTGGGAACACAATCTGCGCAGAGAAGGTTGTGTCAACGTAATTATGCAGCGAGTCCATTGTTTAACTCTTCCTCTATGGCCTTCAAACTGTTTGCATAAACAGATTGATTTGAAAAGGACATGTTTATCAGTAAACGTTAATAAGGATGAGTACAGAATCAAGGGAGTCTGCGAATTGAACTCTCGCCTACCTAGAGGAAATCTGACGACTCCGCTATTAGACTAGGTCTTACTGAACACTTCCTACCTAAAAGACACATTCAAACAACAAATGGATTACAACTAAAGTGCAAAGTTAGCGTAATGCCCATGTTGTTTTAGTGTACCTTCCGGGAAGGAGGCGAGTTTGTAATTCGAATCTGGTGACAGGGTCGTCGTCTCCCGTGCCAAAGTGCGATTGCGGTTTCTCCCCTCCCTAAACTTCGTACTTATTATCCTGGTCATTTCCACCTAATAAGTATGGTAAAATTAAACCAACTGGTTTGTTCTAAAAACACTGAGAACAGAGAAGAGGAGACCTGTGAGTCTCGCTCTACAGTTGGAAGCATCTGTCAAGGTATTAAAATCAGCATCAGAAACTTGACACCTTTATTGTATTAAAACATCACAAATCACTCACTAGCACATACATCCCTTCTGTAGTTATCCGGGTCCAAAGTCACCATATAGGCTTAACTTTAGGAAATCCCCATTGCAGACCTTTGCATATATTTAATACGTGGTACCAAGAAAGAGGTGTAGCGTTCCGGGACTCCCTGAAGACGAAAGAAGGCAAAATACTATGGGAGAATATATATTCAGCGCAGAGAAAGTGTCTGGGCTATTGGCATGGCCCAAAAGGCCAGCCCACCCATCAAGGTACAAAAGGGCTAATTCAAGGCATAAAAGTGGCGCCTCACCAATGCCGAGGGATAAACCACTATCGTATTACAGAAGTTGATAATTATATAAACCTTACTTGAAAATCGAACTGACTATCGCCAGAAAAAAGGGCTTATTTGACAACTAGCAATGGATCTTAGGATTTTTGAAATGCAAGTCCTTGATTTTGTCAGGAATTTCATAGATGTGGTATTGGAACATTCACCATCCCATTTGTGGGCAACTACCGGCCTCGATGATAGCGTTGTTGTCAAGTTGCATAGAGTCAAAAAATTTTGCGAATAAACAAGTTAATGAACAGACTGCTGAATAAACTATTTTTTATAGCATCATTCAAAACTTAATGCATAATTGTAAGGCTGATAGTGTGGTCTTTTTGTAGTGCACACACTACAGGTAGCACGCTGAGGTTGTGAAAGGTTGTTGGATGGACATGGTTCCTCCTTTTAGTTCAATGGAAACCTCGAGTTGCATTGTTAAACCTGAGAGTGTAACGAGCACCTATGTAACCTCAAATTCATTTAGCGAGACTACGGTGTAGAATTACTCGATCGCCTAGCTGGTAAAATTGGTGGTGACTTGTCGTCCCTGAGCGTTGACCCTGCTAAACTGCGCATATATTTTATGAAATCTTTAAACGATCTGCAGAATGCTCGGGTTCAACTTGTATCTGAATCAGCTCGACTAGAGGCAAGAATAAATAATAAAATGTCTTGGTCTACCGGTTTTCAGTTAAATATTGGCTTATTGCACATCATAAAGCTTGTTTTCCTAATCTCTTTGATATGATTGCGCAAATTTTTCGTAGTATTCTCTGCGGCATCGAGCTCTTATTCAATCCCCCGTTGCATTTGTAGGCTCAGTGTCGTCTGGAGAATACGAAATTTGTTTCCGAAATCGTGGGACTTAGCGGACAGTTATCAGAAGCAAGCAAAACGTTTAAAGAACTTGATACAAAGATAAACGTCGTTTCTGGCAAGATAATACATCTTGGTGACCAACTTGAGCGAAGGAATGCGCCTCGGGAGAGTCTCAAGGAAGCCCGTCGGCTTATCTTGGAATTTTCCAAATTTCTTGGGGCTGGAGGTGGCACATTTGCAAATATTTCTGTTAATTCACAGGCTAACGAAACACAGGCACGTATTCCGCTAAGAGTCTACTGTTTTTCTCAGTATATTAGATTATTTCATTTTTTAGCTTATAGAAAAGACCGCCAGTATTCGAGCACTGAGTGCGCTTTGCTTGGAGCTTCCAGATGACGAGCGATTCCTGGTTGCCAAGCAGCGAGTTACTATTGCCAGTCAAAACTTAGAAAACTTACTGGTGAATTGGTTCCGCCATGACTTTTCCACCGAGAATGATGATATGATGCGGCGTATTGCAGAAGTATTGACCTACTCAAGGAGTCAATCCGGTTGTGCTGATGTCTTCATAGATGAGTTTCTCAAAGTAATAAGCATTCATTTTTGTTATTCGTATATCCTTTTGATTTAGTGTCTCCCTTCAGATTTGGGTGATTTGTCTATGCTACCAGATATTCTTGCGCAAACCGAGGCGAAAATCATTCGCATTTTTCGCCGACCGGAAAGCGTTATAATTCATCTAATGCAGGCACTATTCTCACAAAATCTGAAGGTTCGTTTTAACAGGGAATTGTTTTTTTTGTTTGGTTAGCCTCGTTTAAAGGTTATTGTGGCTTTTTGTTATCTACACTAGGATTTTGTCCATTTTCGATCTTGCTAATTTTCTCCATTTTCTTTGTTACATAGATACATTTTCAATCCAAAGTTCGGTTGGACATGCCCACTGATGTCTTTCTAACCAACCTATTTACTGAATACTGCAAGTACGTATCAAATTTCTCAGGATTTGTAAATATTCTCTATTCTGATTTGCTTCAGCTTTGACCGGCTGGTATTTCAATTGATTGAACGTCTTCAACTTCTCTCTGATGAGACTCAGCTATACAAACTCCTCAGCGGCTTAGCTGATGAGGTGCTGCAGGACTACCAAATCCGAGAAACAAGTTGGCTCAATGAGCACCTTCGGGGTCAATTGTCTACCTACTATGCATCTTACAATCATTCAAAACGTTCTCTCCCCACATCTGGGTAGGTACAGCTGGATTTCTGACCGTTGAGGTGGGGAGTTATTTGTCTTCATGCGAGCTGCCCCATTAACGTTTCGTACCGCTCATTTAAGTTAGTTTTGTATGTCTCGCTAGCAGTGTTGATGGTAACCAATCGACGGCGATTTGGAGTAAAATGTAAGGGATTTCCATATGGTAGAGGTTGATAAGTGTTTTGGGTTTGGTTTTGGTGTGTGTTTAACCTGTGGCAATTCCACATTTTTTTCACTCGCATTGTGTACTATTTTTTTCTGCGAATTCGGGACGGGTGCTTTAATATCACAGAAAATATACTCTTCATTTTACGGAATTAATTGGTCCCCTATGACATCAGACCATCCATGAGCTATAGCCACTGCATTTCCAGGACATTTCATTTTCTCAGGTATTTCCAAATCCCCATAATTTGATTATTCTAGTTCGAGCGGCACTCCTGTTTCTGACCATTTGTCTACGTGTTGCATGGTTGCAATGAATTTCACTGACAATCATGGCACTTGATACTTTTGAGAACATTTTCACAGGTTTTAATTAAATAAAGTGATGTTTCCAAGGGGTGTGTTCTCATGAGAATATGTTTTCACATCTGAAGCTGTTTGCTCTGCCACCAGACATGTTATTTGCGCAATTTTTCAGCATTAGCTTTTCTATCATAAGGAATATCCGAGCTCAGCTCATATTTGTTTTAGTCTTTTTGATACTTATTTTATCCTTTCCTACCTAACATGTCCATGTGATCGTATTCACTGTCCTGGCACTTAGATTTTCGGAATTAAAAAGCGCGGTCCAGGCGCGCCTTCATATTAGCAACGATCGAGAAATTTCTACGAGTTGCCTCCTCCTCTCTCAGGAAGTTGTAGTCAACATGCTCGACGACGTCCGACAGTCTGCAAAACGTTGCATGCTGGTACCAATTGTCGTCTATGTAAAACTCCTTTTTAAACACTCCACATAAAGTCAATATTACCCCCTTTAGCTTGCTAAGCCTACGGCTAGACCGCAATTCGGGCTGCAAATTTTGGATATACTAGTCCGTTATTTGGTAAATGAACACATCGACTATGGAATCACTGTGGCTTTGCAAGGTGCGTTGCATTATTTTGTCCCTACACTTTATGGATCTGCATGTCTAGTAGGTCTGCTCGTTGACAAATCGTCTGTAAAATGCATTGCTGATAGTGATCTTGAGAAATCCCAAGCTGCGTAATGATGTTGGGAGTTTATAAATCGAACGTCTGTGTTTGTAATTTTAGTTTTGAACAGCATGGACCCAAAGATTGCGGATCCATCCTTTACCTTCTTTGCAGCCGTCAATGAAAGCACTACACTGTTCGACCTCTTTGAAAAGGCAGTTAATGAATTCATTGGACCTCTGCTTGCGTGAGTTCGATAGGAAATCATGCCTAAATCGGGCACCTAACAACTCAGATTGCGCACTTCATAGGCTTTGGGCATGCATGCGTATTGGATATGAACCAGCGGTTAAATGTTTGTTGGACAGACGAGATTCACCATTTGTTAACAAATTGGCTCTCATGTGTTTATAGTGGCAGTCCGTCTCAAGTGCAAAAGTGTCTGACCAGGCGACAGGAACTGCGATATCGTCTTGAGGAGAAGCTCTCGACGGGCCTCGAACAGTGTCTCAGTCTTGCATTAACCCGCATTCAGATAATCCTATTGAACCAACAGAGGAAGACCGACTTCAAAAGCGACGTTTCAGCGATGAATTCCGCTGCAGTGACTGAACTTCCCGCCTGCTCCTTGGTGTGTCATTGTTGACACTCCTTCACAGTTTAGCTAGATAAATGAAGGGTGAACAATTTACAGAATTACCTTTAAACAACCCGACTGTGGAGTTTTCGAAAAAACCGTTTTGAGAGTTTAAATTTGGCTTAGTGACATCTTTACACGGAAGGATTAGGGGAAGAATATGCAAGTGATTATTTTGCTAGGCGAATAGTAAAGCCTCATTTCCCTTATAGGCGTGCCAAGACGTTTGCAAATTTGTCCATAAAGTTATTGAAGGCGCACGGCAAAATCTAGATGGTCAAAACCTTTGCGGATTTCTTCACGAACTGGGCTTGCGATTTCATCGCCTTTTGGTAGACCATTTCTATGGCTTCTCTTTCTCTGATTCAGGTCTGTTAATAAACCCAAACTTCATATTCGGTGGACTACGTAGTCTGTTAAAGTATGCCCCCACTTCTGTGTTGTAGGTGGATTCGTTGCTATGCAGGATGTCACAGCCTATCGCGATACTGCTCGTGAATGTCAGAGCGCAAAAATCGACTATCTCTTTGACATTTTGCTTAAGCTAATGAATTTGATGTTAATAAGGCCCCAGAACGTGCGCCAAGTTTGGCAAGACTACGAACAATCGGGAATACCCAGAGAGCTCCTCGCGAACTTCATCTCATTACGGGCCGACTATAAACCAAGGCTGCAGTCCGCGATTAAGCGCTATTTGGAGGCTCCGCGATGTAAACCCCATCCCAATTAACTCGATGCTAACCTCTACCCACCTTAAGTTACTGACAAAAAGGCGTGCCTCCAGCAGAAGCCTATATTTTTAATTTTTTTTTATCAGACATACGCCGTGGCCACTAATTTCGATTATTTCACGGACATCTAGCGTGAGCGAACCATCTTGAGTTACTCAAAAAAATAAGGCTTTACACTGTAAAGCGTCCATAAAGAAAATAAGAACCTCCTTCTCCCTCACCTCAGCAACGTCACAATTGCCTTGGAAGTTCTTTAGATACTCCTCGAAATCACGCTTCTATGCTGCCCCAGTAACCTGGATAGACAACGGTGATTTCATGCATCCTTCGGCCTGCATAAACTCACATTTGTACCCTAGGCGGTGATTTTATCCAGTGACGCAGTTAGACGTGCAACCGGACCGCCACTGGCCTTCCGTTCTAAATTGAGGACCTACCAAAGTTGACGGTTGTAACACTATAATTGAGTGAGGGTGCGCCGACACCAGAAGTCCTACTGGCCTATCTTGCGCATTTGACACGCTTTTATACAAAAGGACATGAAAGCAAAGAACACGAGAATTTGGGCTGATTTCATTAATCCTAAGACGAGGTAGTACAAAATAGACGTACTGTGATTACATACTCGCTGTACAAAGTAGTCTCGTGTGGGGGATCGTTGATTGGTAATAAGAAGCGGTGATTCGGTAATGCGAAGGGGCAAAAGAAATGCACATGAGGATGATGTTAACATCATCCTCTGACGGAGATATTGAGACCTACAATGGAAGAGTAAACATAATCAGAACATGCCTATAGGGGGTCGGTTGCTCCTTGAAACACTTCAAAATACAAGGGGATCAGGGCAAGATGTGTTGCCTTGTCAATTTCTACTCTTTTTTTGAGAGCCAAGCACCAACAAAAAAGAAACACTTTACGACTCAGATTTTGATTCGTTGTAACTTATTGAGGACTGTAGAATCCTGTTTTGATTATCAGTTACGTAGTACTGTATTCTACGTTTCAATGAGCATTTGCTCCTTTTGCTGAACCGGTCCACGATAAGTACAACGCATACTTGAAAAGGAAGTTCGGGTGCTTAGTTATCCTAGGCTGATTAAAGTGCATCTTGAATTTCATCTTTGATGATCAAAAGGGCTTCAAAGATGGTGTCACACGTTTTCGGCGCTGCGGTCGGATGGAAGGACAACAATGACCATGGAGCTACAGGGACTCTTGCTGAAGCCTCTGGAGAATCTGGACGAATGAAGGGCGATCGCGAGGTTCGCTGGCCCACGTTTCCGTCATGAGGCTGTAGACCCCCTTCGGGCAGTCCTGCGGCGCTTCCATTCGCTCACCTGCCTCGAGGTGCGCCAGCACCTGACTCGTCATCTAGTGTGAATGCGTACCACAGGTGATGCCCATAAAGCTTGGATAAAATACACAAATAAAAACAAAAAGGCTCATTTGCCTGTCACTTACTAAACGGGGATAGGGAAGGCGTCCGAATGAATACAATTCCCACAGCATCACACCGAAACTCCAAACATCCGATTTGTGTGTAAATATCTGGTGTATCAATTTTAAACCATGAATGAGGATAGAGTGATTTAAAACAGAGAATATGAAAAGTGCTTACTCTAGTTCTTATGCTCTCAGGCGCGGTCCACTTGATGGGGATTCGGGTGATGTTAGACATCCGCTGGGTTCCTGTGAAGCAGAGAGGACCCACGCAAGTGGGACGTTCGACAGCATCAAAGTCCACTTCCCCAGTGACGCGATGGTCGAAAGTGGGAGAGGAGGATCGAAGGCGAAAGGCCAGACCAAAATCACCCAATTTGGCCACCGGATAGAAAGGATGCTTGGCGGAGGAAAAGAGGAGCACATTGCGAGCCGCCACGTCACGGTGAAGGTACGAACGTGCTTCCATGTAAACCAGACCACGAGCCACATCCCTTTACGGGAAAACGTACGCATACAAGGAGTCAGTCCAAACAATATACCCACTTTGATGATCACAAGCCATACTTTAAAACATTTAGATTGCAAAACAGTTTTGCTTAAACCCACTGGAGAAGAAACAGTGACATGAGCGGATTGAGCTATCTTGTCGAATTAAATTAAAAGCAGAGAGCAACCATAATCGAAATGGGTCTTTCAGAGCAACAGGGCAATATTAGTGGACCACTACTGTTACTAACGCTATACTAATTCAACGGTGGAGTGCATGGACCAATTTACACAAAAAAGTGTCCATTAAAATAAGGGAACCGATCGGCCCTAAAATTCATAAAACGTTTACTGAATTGCAATATAAGGACGCTAACTCAAGCAGCAATCAGGTCACTGTCAAATCAAAGACGATTCCCACATCTTCGCAGAAATTAGGAAACAATACCGGTCAACATATTCACTTGCCAACAGTACACCTTATTTTCTAATTAAGCGGCTGGTTCATGTGGATTAGGTGCGATACTCACCAAAACTGCTTTATCAAGCTAAAAATGTGGCGTTTTCCCTTGCTAATTAAATTCTATCGCAAATTCAACCACAGGGAAGACTATGAGTAGCCCGAAATTTCAATTTTATTTTAACCTCAGCACGAAAACCTTCAGTACATATGACACCTACAGCATTTTCAAGACTGTATTTTTAACTTTCGGCAAATCCTTAACGTGTAGATCCATTGTAGAATTCTCAATCTCTTTTCAGAAATGCCCATTTTATACGACGTCTAGACGACTGGAAATCTTCAGAGATGCTGCACACCATCAGTGAAAATTGACAACACGTCACGCTTCTGCACCTTCGACGTAATGTAGTGGGATAAATGGGAGTCTAGATTTAGACTGGAGGAGGAAGTCCTGGAATGAGAACTGCCCAAAAAAGGACTTTCGCTGCTTCGGTAAGTCTGGATGCTCCCCCATTTTAGAGTATTTAGGGACGTCTTTAAGAGCTCTACCAACAAGCAAACCCAGATGCACAACGAAGTTTACTACTAAGTATTGACGTAAGTCAAGGTAAAAAGACCATTTAGAAGCCATGTTGCCCATGTCATAAATGGCTGGTAAGGCCTGGAGGCAACAAGGAGGATCACAGGGCCGATAATTCCTACTACAACGCCAAATACCTTAATAAGGACGGCACCAAAAGAGATGGGACAAAGCTTTGATTATGTCTTAACCAATGTCACAAATTAGCAAGCAGAGAATTACGGAAACCCGACTGCCACACATGTTATGTTGCATGAATGGCGATCATGTTGCCATTTCTTAAAGGTGTCTATTCCAACTAAACATTTCAATAATAACATCTGAAGGATTACAGGCCGGCTAAACTAATATGATGGCGAGAGTGAATTGTAGAGAGTGGAAGACGCGATGATGATTGTGATAAAGGACTGAAAAACAAAAGGAGCAGAAGGACCGCCAGAAAACACTAGCAAGATAAAGTGCGGATGGTTAACTCACGTGGCAAAGGAGAGAAGAGTGGCGGGCCCGAGGAGAGCACGGCCACGAGAGCGCAGGTAAAATAAGAGGGAGCCGAGGGGAGAGAACTCCGTGACAAGACAGAAGGTTGTGCAGGGCGCACCGTCCGCAACCACTGTCCCGTCTTCGTCTGGTTCCTCTGTTACTCCCAACAACTCCAACAGATTCTCGTGCTTTAACTCCCTTGCATTCGACAAGGTGATAAAGTAGTCAGTACCCATCAATCCACGTAGTAATACAAACGTCTAGCCCGGGGGTCATTTCCCAACTATTTGCTTTTGTTCCGTCATTCGTGGTATCAATCATATGGCCCTTCCAACAGATATCGCTTACTGTCGAACCTACCCCGAATACCTCATAAATAATCTGGTCAGTCATTTGCTACCCTGTTCGTAAAATACGGGTAGGCACACTCCATGACCATGGGATAAAATTGCCGTCAGGACGCACCATAAGATCCCTACCTCGGCATTTCATAGCTCAAAATGTCCTAAATCGATATTCTGTGCACGGTAAATAATGGGTACTGAAAAGTAGCTTATTTGAACAAATACAATACGGGACCTTTAGGCCTATTAACATTTGCCAAAACTGAATTAGACACGTTTAGATTGAAATATAAGAACGTACGACATAATGCAGGCTTCGTAGATTAGTTGTCGCTTCGCCGACGCCTTGTAACGTTTTACTGCGACCTCGCGGTCGCCAATTTTCGCCTTCAATACCTCTAAAGAGATCGAAGTACTCAACAGTGGTTACATCAAGACATCTGGTTTATAGCGATAGACTTCAGCTCTAACACTTCATTTTATCTCGCTAAACCACTTTCAAACCAACATAATGTCTTTTTAGGCACAACCGTGCACCAGATCAAATGAGTTGCATAAAATTGCTCTCGGCTGCACTTTAACGTTGCCAGTTCTTTCCCTATATTTCTGCCTTAGCATCATCTAGTTGAACAATTCTGATCGAGGCTAGTGTGAATCACTGTGGCGTACCCCCGAATTCACCATGACCCAGTTTCTGCCCAAGGGTAAGATGCTCACGCGGAATCCAGTGTCGATCACGAAGGCGCTGCATACACACGCGCTCCATATCCACGACTGGCGCAGTGAGTGGGTGTGCCAGGCCACGGTCCACAACCTTGTAATGCTTAAGTACAACATTATTAGTTAAATTTGCAAAGAAAGTCCCAGAATGGCTGCATCCAAGTGAATAAAATTACTTGGCGGAACAACATAGAGAGTAATAAATAGCTAAAATTAGAAACTGGAATAATGTTCCAAAGAGTCATTAAGGAGAAAATATTGAAAGAAGCCTTGCATATAAACCACCCACTAGATATTTAACTTGCTATATATTACAAACTCATTTGAACTCAAATAAAACAAGAAGCCATGCCTGATGATAGGAAAACCAACAACCGGAAGGATTGGGGTTATCCATATAGTAGGTAGAAGTACAAAATTCAAGGACTGAAAACCATGCAGACGCTAGTATATCAATTTTAAGACGCAAGAAAAAGAGTGTAACCGAGTACCTCGACTAATTTACGCAAACTGGGGAACATCTCCTTGTTGTCCAAAGAGAAAAACTCCGACGATACCGAACTATCCAACCCATTTACCGAATAAATGTGATAATGCTGAGTTGGAGACACTTTGGTCGCATAAGAATTATCTTCGGAAGAATGGCCGCCAACAAGAGAAAGTGTGTAATCTCCGACAAAACGACTGGAAGCTCGAACAAGAAAACTACCAGGAGGCTCGTCTTGAAGTAACGACTCTGCCTCCTCTCTGGATATTTGGCCGTGAAGCCAACTAAAATTAAAAAAGAAAATACTAAGCGCTAGAGGAAGGAAAAAGGAAAAGGACACCGCTATTTACGGCGGATCGACGTCAGACTCCACGAAGTTCAGAGGAATCAAACCTGTTTGACCTTTGCCGTTTCTAGCAAGCGCCCAGTTACCATCCTAAAAAGATGGCATGATGACGTGAATGCACTACTGTTAATCGTCGCAAAATAGCTAGATGTTCACCCTTTTCAAACTGCAAATCCTCATTGCTTGTCTTCTCATATCTATAAACCGCGACAACATTTTCCTGAAGATCGGAATTAGGCATTATCTTGACGCGATAGAATCACTAAGAACAAGTCCAAGATACGTGTACAACGGCATACTGAGACAAAGGAGCCACAAACCAAGCCCAGCGACATTCAAAGTGGCGCGCGGACTTGAAAAGATTATAATGAATTTCTCTTAAGATTTTAGTAATGGAGCAGCAGAAAATGGCCGGTAGTGCGGAAGGAGCAAAGAAATATGTAAAAAGGCGGTCAATATACTAAAATTGCCAACCATACAGTTCAAAAACTGCCGAAATGAAGAGTTGGAACTAATGTTAAAAAATGTATTGATGCGAACAATCCAGATAAGCTAGCTTAAGTAGCAAAAGAAACGTGAAAGTTTTATGCAGCTGTAACTGCAACACGGTTGTTTCAAATCAACTTTAAGACAAAAGTGGGTCAGTAAATACAGGACACCTGCCGTATCGGTGCCAACAAATGTAAGAAGGGAGTAGGACCTGGATACACTTGAACCGCAATATCTATGCGCGCTTATTATTCATATCAGCCAAAACGCATCCTCGTTCAACTCGTTTGCTTCTCCCATAGGCAAGAGGGAAGTGGTGGGAAAGGGACGCGCTGAGACTGTTGCAAGATGCGTCACTGGTTGCCGATAATTGCTTAAGTTATAATGTAGCGTCCCGAGATTCCCTTAAGACGAAAGAAGACAAAACACTTGGGCAGAATACATATATTCAGCACGG